GCGCAGTGCATTTGAAACAAAAAAAGAACACATGAGCGGCTTGGAAGGCCATTCCAACAGCACACACGCACACACACACACACACACACACACACACACACACACACACACACACACACACACACACATACATATATATATGTGTATGTATACATATATCGTGCGGGATCGGCAACGCCCTCGCGGCGCGACGGTCGATGGCGCATAGGTGTGGTGTCCCCCACTCTCCCGTACTCTATACGAGTGTATCGCAATAGTGTAGGAGTGCGCATTCTCTATACCAGGATAACGCGTTTCTGCCATACTTACTACAGAACGCTTATTTTTCCTTTCGGATATTCCAATAGCCACTAATGGACCTTAAGTGAGTGGGCGCCTTGGCCCAGGTTGTACAGGCTAAGACCGGGCTTTGCATTGTCTGTATGACCATGTTCTTACCCTGATGGATGCCTCTTCGGTTCCGGCAGCTTGAATCAATTACTGGCATTGTGGGGGACTTCAAATCGATGAATAAAATGGCAGATCCTCACAAAGACTGCCACAATAGACGAGACTCGGTCAGGAAAAGATACCCCTAGACTTATAGGCAAGGAGTCTTTTATCAGGGAGATTACAATTTATTATTAAGGCATATCCACATTAGAAGCGCCCACGATGGTATCACAATACACCTTACAAGAAGATTTGCATTTTTTATAGGGCACAATCACCTATCTTACCATTACTATATCGAGTACGGGTTCATCGACATATACTAATATGGGCTTCTGATTTGTTGTGCAACTTACATTGCGACAGTTGGTGATTTCTTAACAACGCAATCACGAACATTGCCACATAATGAATACTGAGCATGCCACCAGGATGTCACATCGGCGGTGGGTGGTTAAAAAAAAACACACATAAACTCAGTGCCAATAGAGTTGTGATATTGCATTTGCCTTCTCTATCTCCAGCCCCAATTGCACCACATTGCCTCCGATCCCTGATGACATCTGTCCCCACTCTGATCGGAGGCAGTGTGGTGACCGGAAGTGATAGTAATGGGAAGGACCCCTGGACACAACTCATTGTGGTGTGAGTGACGGAGGCTGGGCTAAGGGGTGGAAATTGTACAGTAATAAATAATAGTGGGTAATTGGGGTGGTGAAATGAGGTTTTTTTTTTTTTGTGGGAGTTGGATTGCGGTGTGTGAATTGATGGTTCACGTATTGTAATACGTTGCAAGTGGTCTGCCTGATTGTGTGGCAGCAAACGCTTTCGGCTGGTTAACAAATTTCAAAATTTGCCTGTAATTGTTATTATTTGCATGATATGAAATTCATTCCATGCGACAACTTTTGCGAAGTGATCGCAAATCGCTGGTTACACGTTTCTCATAATGTACGTAACAGACTCCATCTCAAACACAACGCTAAAATTAGACTTACTGCCCTTGGTTTCACGTAAGAGTCACGTTTTGCCCCTTGCTTTTACATTCACATTACACGCTTTTGTTGCAATGAAAACAAGTGTGACTGTACAGTAGAATCCGTAACAACAAATACCACAGTGTGCGTACTGAATACGACAGCGTACAACAAACAGCTGGTTCCAGCTTCAGAGTGGCTGGCAACGTCAGCCAGTGGAATTTCCGCCAACCGCAAGTCATGCTCTGCTGGGCTCCTTTCGAAAACACTAGGAAAATTTTGGGGAAAGTACATCCCAGCTCCTTAGTTTCGAAAATATCTCAAATTTAGTCCGAACTTTACCCAAAAAGTATACCTTAGTGGAATTTCGCTCACGCGAGGCCCCTATTAGGGCCAACATCATAGGCATGCAAAATAGTCTGGTAACCCTATGCAATTGTATGCAAAACCGTCGATACCTCATTTTGGAGGTAATTACGTATTTACCTAATACCGCGTTTTTATTTTTCTTGACCACTGATTTCGTCCGCGCTTGGCTTTGCGCTACAAAATGATTTCTTCAGGCAACTGTTTTCGCCAGATTAGCAACACTGTTCACTACCTGACCCAAGGAAAAAATAAAACCCAATCGGAAAGGGATGCGACTCGGGGAGGCATCAACCCTAAAAACAATGCCCTTTCCCGTGTTTAGGGTTGATCCCTCCCGAAAATGCGTCCAGGTTCCTATGGGTTTTATGTTTTCCGGCCCTGCCCTAACAGTTCTCGGTAGCGTCGTCGTCGTATACTTTCATCCCAACAGATTTTCCCGCTAAATGTATCGTGCACATTTAGCGGAAAATTGTTGCGCGCAAAAATCGTTGTTAGGCGCCAAACAGAGCGCGGTAAGAACCACTAAGAAAATAAATCGAAATCGCAATCGATTTCTTTCCTTTTTGTGCTACGTCAGCTGTTACACAGTGTTTTCGAGTGGCGGTACCAGACAAATTTGCGCAGCAGGACTGGGGTATCGACGGTTTTGCATACAATTGCATAGGGTTACCAGACTATTTTGCATGCCTATGATGTTGGCCCCCCTATTATGTTCAAAACTGGTCCTGCGGGGCAAACATTTCGACACGTGTCCATTTCGCAACAAGAAAGTTTTGGCGGGGCAAACAAACATAATTCTCCAAGGGAAACAGGACACATTTTCGGGAGGGATCAACCCTAAACACCAAGCGAATCCCGTGTTTAAGGTTGATCCCTCCCGAAACAGTGTCCTGGTTTCCCTAGGAGTTTTATGTTTCTGCCTCGTCAAAAAATCCTGCTGAGAAAACAGACACGTGTCGAAAGGTTAGCCCCGCAGGACCAGTTCTGAACATAATTTGGGCCTCGCGTGAGCAAAATTCCACAAACTCATACGTTTTGAGCAAACTTGGTACTAAGTTTGAGAGAAGTTTGAAAATAAGGAGCTGGCATGTACTTTCCCAAAATTTTGTGGATGTGAGGCTCCAGTGAACCCAAATGCTAATCACGTGAGTGAGTGTGGGCAGGTAAAGGAAGGGGGAGGAGCCCCACTGGCTGTCGATCGTAATCCTCCTCCCCAATTTCTACACTCCTCGCTGGGTATGGAGGTTGGGCATATCCACTCCACTCCCAAGGTGAGCACGTGAGTGAGTGTGGGCAGGCCATTTGATTTTGTACTGATTCGTTGTTGTGTACTGTGCGGAATACGTGGAAGTCGTTACTTGTATTATTTTTCATCGAACTTCGCCGGGGTGAATGGCGTTTCGCATCTGCGCACACCCACAAGGATGACCCGTGTGTAACCTTTCAAGGCGCTCGCTCAACATTTTCGCACTGCTGTGATTCGGCTGCTCCTGTAATGCGCTTTCGCTATCTAAAGCGCTGTGGTGGTGACTGACAGTAGGGGACTGGTTTCAAGCATTTCTCCAACACAGCATAAAACGCCCAGCATAACACAACACGCACAGCTGACTGAGACTGGTTTCTTTGCATACCACGCACACGCACACACACATCCCATCGGCAACTCACATCAGCGATGCCGTTTATTTATCGCTAAGGAGAACCAGCTACACGCGACCATTTTTCAGCATTTGCTGGAACCCTTCCCCATGGCCTCCCAAACTGCGGTTGTTCATAGTCCAGTACTCTCAGCGGCCGATCTCTCTCCTGATGTAGACTGGCCACTCGCCAACACCCCCGCAATCCGCGCTCGCCGCTGCCTGCGAACTCAATGCACTGGCGAAACCCGCTCGCTAGACCGCGAGCGCGCTCTGAACACCACAGCCGCCCTCGGGCTAAGCCCAACTCGTGCGAGGACATATTCTCCTAGCACTTCCCCCCTATCCGCGGAAATATCATGGGCGGACGCTGTCGCGGCCGGGAGGAGGAAAGACGGCGAGCGCCCAGCGGTGCTGTCGCCCTTGGGATGCGGTTCCGCCTCCGCGCTACATTCTCCGTGCAGCGGCGGAAGCCCCGCATGGCGCCCTGCCGCGCTGGCGGCGGTGCGCAGCCCGCTCGCGCCCGTCGTCCGCCACAGGGCGACCGCGTCGGTCGACATGGAGGAGCTATGGGCGGAGGAAGCTTCCGACGAAACCGTCGGCGCATCGCGCCGGCCACGGAAAAATCGTATGATCATCCGACGCGCGCGAAACAAGTCCTCCGACTTCTCCTCGCTCCGCAGCGCGCTGGGAGACGAGAAGCCGCCGGGGAGCGCCGACGCGGGCAGCGACCGTCGCGCCGCGACCGGGTGGGTACCAGCGGCGCCGTCGTGGGAGGGAGAAGCTCCGGACTCAGCCGAGCCGCAGCTCCTCTCCGCTGAAGGGAGCGACGCTTCCGCGGCCGCGAGACCGTCGATTATCAGCCGACGCCCCGCTGCGACGGCGATCCGCAAGTTGCGCATTTTCTCCAACCGAAGCAGCGGCCGGGATTCTGCGCTCGCCGCCGCATTCGCTGCCCCGGCGGCGTCCCCCGCAGCCGGAAACGATGTGGCGCTCGAAGGACTCGAGGGCGTTTCCGCGCAGCCGAGTCGCACGCGCGACAAAGTGACGGCGGGTTCCGCGGCCGGCGCCGGCGGCAACGTCGGCGGGGCTATTCCGAAGTCTCCTCCGCGGCGGCGGGGACCGGCGGGCGTCGCGGCGAGGCGGAGAAGCTTCAGTGGATCGTCGGCGGAGCCTGTGACGGTTGTTCCGTTTGTGCGACGAGAGCAGGCGGACAAGCAGCTGCAGGCGCAACAGCCGTCGCAGGAGTCATCGCCGCCGTCGCACATCAAGCGAAGTCTTAGCAGCAGCGGCGCTGAGGGGCGGCAAGAAGCGGCCGGGCCGCAGGATATTGCTGACGTGCTCCGTGCCCCGGCGCTGCCGGGGCGTTCGGGCGACTCGGAGGAGGCTGGCGAAACGAAACGCAGTGGCGAAACGAAACGCAGTGGCGAAACGGATGGCGAAGAATCTCGAGGGCAGCAGCGGGTCGCGTCGTACCACGAGGAGTTGGCTCTGGATTTGATGGATTATTTCGGCGACGTTGCGCAATCCTGGAGCATTGGGAGTTCAAACCGCGACTGCGACTCAGTAGTACATCCGCATGAAGCCGAAGTTGCTGCTGCTCCGGTCGAAACGATGTTTGGGGAGGCGGAAAGGGGAGAAGCGCGAGGGGAGAGACGAGCGGAGGGAATGGAGAGGATGGGACGAGCGGAGGGAATGGAGGTAGGAGGACGATTGGAAAGGATGGAGGAAGTGGGTCGAGTGGAGTCATGGCGCACGCATGTGTAGTTAAAATAGCGGCGTGGGAAGTTTGGAAGGAGATGCGTTGACCTGTGTACAAAGAGACGTTCGGAAGGAAGAGGAGGAAAGGGAGGAGGGTACGAGCAGGAGGGGCCGCAGCAGCAGAGCTGCCAGTCTTGTCTGCTTGTGACCCAGCAGGGAAGTATCCTATCAAAAAGCGAGAGGAGCAGGTGAAGGTGCGGGCGAGGAGTGGGACAAGGCAGGGGTGAGGAGTGGGATTTAGAGGGGTTACGAGTGGAAATAAGGAGGGGTGAGGAGTGGGAATTCAGATGCTGTTCAAGAACCACATTACCTGACTTTGATTTGAATTCTTTAATTAATTATCACCAAATTGTAATCATCACCTGCCTGCTGGTGTTTCCACTGACGTATCTGGCCTCACCATGCACCCGACACCCTTCCTTCTCTCCACCCTTTCTTCTCCCTCCTTTCTCCCTTCTCCTTCCAACTTCCCTTACCTCTCTATCCTCCCTTTTTCCCTCCATCCTCCCTTCCCCCTCCATCCTCCTTTCCCCTTCATCCCCTTTTTTCCCTCCATCCTCCCTTCTCCCTCCATCCTCCCTTCCCCCTCCATCTTCCCTCCCTCCCCCCTACCTCCTCCCTGCCCCCTCCATCCCCCCTTCCCCTTCATCCCCTTTTTTCCCTCCATCCTTCCTTCTCCCTCCTTCCTCCATGCCACCTCCATCCTCCCTTCTCCCTCCATCCTCCCTCCCCCCTCCATCCTCACTTCTCCCTCCATCCTCTTTTCTCCTCCATACATCTCCAAAACCAATATGCAAGCATGGTCGATCGTCATTTGGCATCCAATAATCACGTGCGCATGAAATGCATAGTTTGGGACATTGGAGATTGATCCTGTGTGGGAGAGTATCGCAGGGCTTTGAGAAATTGGGGATGCAGTGAACAAACGTGAAACTGATCTGACAAAAATTATGTCACTTCTGCAGTAGCGGTACAGTTACACATCATGGAATATTGCGGATGAAGGATCCAGCATTCCCACTTTGAACGACTGACGGCAAACATTTCAGTCTACTGTTTACGTTTTTTTCCGGCTCGCTGAAACATTTTGTGGCTGCTGCTCACGTGCGGTACTGTATGTTTGAGATCCACGGCGTTTTTGTCCAGAACCGAAACAAAAACGCCTTGTAAAAACACCAAGGACCCATCAGGTTTCAGAGTTTGATTTGAAAATATAAATGCCGGACAGGCAGCGCATATGTGGACCTTGTGCCCGTGTTTGTCATAATGTACCCCTTTATGGGCAGCTTGTTCGATATTGAGCAAGAAACGGTGGGGATGTGATTAGACAAAAGGGGACTGGGGTGGCTGAAAGTGAATACAGCAGGGTCTAGGTCAAGAACTACTAGCCCTTGCTAGAGCTGGTTGTGTGGATGTTTACATAATGCTGGGCTTCAGAATATACGCATGTGAGTTATCTGCTAAATTCACATCCACATCCATTTGCAACTCCTTTTGAGCAGGTCTTGCTTCGAAGTTCAAGCACCAGGAAGCTTATTTGGGTTACAGCGAAGTGGACCCAGTTCCGTATGTACAGAAACGATTTAGACCCGAAACCTTCATGTGTTGTCCGCTCCGCTCACCTCACACCTTGTCGTTCTTGACCAACAGGGGCGCCAAGGCAGCCTGTCTTGGCTGGTGTCGCTCGCTCACTGCAGCATCTTGCTGCTGGTCTCTTGCGTGGGATGGATGGGATGAAGCAGTTGGATCGTTCGTTCGTTCTTTCATCATATTCAACCAAACCCAAACAACCGCGTTAAAACCCGGGTCTCATATTTCCTAGTGTATTACACTTGGTTGGGCTAAAGCGCCTGTGATTGGGTAACGATAGGCGAGATTTGTGGCGAGCAGTTTGGAAAACACAGACGACACCTCAGTTCGTCTACGCAAAAACCAAACGAGCCCCTCAGGCATGGAAAGCTCCCACACCTAAAAAACAGATCCGGCAGTTCCCTGCGACCAACTGAAACGACAAGACGCAATTCGCCCACGTTCACCAGGAAAAGCAGAGCAAAACTCTCACCTGTCAGTCTTACAACCTCCGCTTAGGATGGTTCCTACGTATGTACCTCCACATCAAGATGCTGGCCTTAGTCGCTAAAACAGTGATATTAGAGACCATTTCGGACCAGATAACAGGGGACTTGCGAACAAATTCTGGTTGCGGATAACGCACTAATTGGCGACTAAGGAATCGTCCAATGTCGGGAACGGTCGCAACGCCATCGCTTGTTACGAGGTAGCCAGTCCGTAACATTCCGAAATGCGTTCTTACTCTTCTATTTACAGCTGTAGAACCCGGAGAGGTGATGTCGCATTTCAGAATGCGCTCGGGTCGTCCATCTACGACAAGCGCGATTGCGTGAAAGGTCTGTGTGCGAGTGGCATGTGTGTGGGGTGTGTGTGAAAGCTTGTGTGCGTGCGAACGTGCGTGCGTGCGTGCGCGAGCGTGCGCGTGCGTGCGTGCGTGCGCTTGCGCGTGCGCGTGCGGCGTGCGTGTGTGCGCGTGTGCGTGCACGTTTGCGTGCGCGTACGCGTGCGTGCGTGCATGCGTGCGTGCGCGCGCGTGCGTGCGTGCGTGCGTGCTTGCGTGCACGTGCGTGAGAGCAAGCGTGCATGCGTGCGTGCGTGCGCGTGCGTGCGTGCGTGCGTGCGGGTGTGCACCTGTTTGTATTTCCCCTACCAACTTTCCTAATGTCTGCAGCAAGGCTTGCTTGCCAGCCAGCCCTCGCCACGCGCTCACCCTGCTAGCTTTTCTGCCCGAACTGAGGTGTATGCAAGCAGGGGAAGGTGAGGAGGGTGTGGGTGTGGGCGATGGTGAGAGAGGGGAGGGGGAGTGGGAGTAGGAGGTGGGGAGGTTGAGTGCTGTGTTTAGGGCCATGAGTGTGTAGAGCCCTTTCCTTCTCCATCTGCCCTCCTTTTTTTTCATTTCCCCTACTATGCCTTCCCATCTCCTGTCCCTTCCCTTCTCATCCCCTCCCATTCTTCTCATTTGCCCTCCCTTCCTTCCCATCTTGCGTGCCAGCCTCCCTTCCTTGCATCACCCCTACCCTCTTTTGCTCTCCCCGTTCCCCCTTTTTACCACCTTTCTCTTCCTTCACATCTCAACTGCCCTTTTTCTCATCCCTGGAGCCTTCCTTCCTCCCGTCACCTCTCCCTTTGTTCCAGTTACAAGCAGGACTAAGCTAGTCCCAGGCGAGCCTGGCGGAACGGAAGGGACAGGCAAGCAGCAGATGCACGGCCAGATGCACGAAGGCGAGATTGGCGCTAGAGGAGAGATGTACCCCGTATCTTCAAGATATTGCACAAGTGTATACATTCAATAAGTTCTTTAGGTCAGTGCTGTGCTCAATTGCTACAAACTAAATGGATGCATTGAAACCATCTGAGCATCAAGTGTAATATGCTATGAAAGACAAGAGACTAGGCGGGTTTGGCAATCCTACTTTGCCAACAACTGAGTTTTGAATCTACGCATTAGTCACAAAACTAAGGATGAACTGGTTCTTTGTGGCGCCATGCTGGAACAAGCACATCAACAGGGGGGAGAAAGGGGGGAAGCAGAGGGGAGACAAGTGGGAAAACAGAGCTGAGGCATGGGAGGAAAGCGAGGGGAGGCATGGCATGGGGAAAGAAAGGAGGCAGGGAGGAATTGGGGAAGTGATTGCTTGGCGGAATAGTGTGTGAAAGCAGGGGAAAAAGGTGAAAGGGTTGGCGAAGTGTTGGCTTCATGGGAGGAGCTGGTAGCACGGGATGAGAGGTGACAGCAGAGGGGGAAGGGAGGTGGTAGCACGGGATGAGAGGTGACAGCAGAGGGGGAAGGGAGGTGGTAGCACGGGATGAGAGGTGACAGCAGAGGGGGAAGGGAGGTGGTAGCACGGGATGAGAGGTGACAGCAGAGGGGGAAGGGAGGTGGTATCACGGGATGAGAGGTGACAGCAGAGGGGTAAGGGAGGTGGTAGCACGGGATGAGAGGTGACAGCAGAGGGGGAAGGGAGGTGGTATCACGGGATGAGAGGTGACAGCAGAGGGGGAAGGGAGGTGGTAGCACGGGATGAGAGGTGACAGCAGAGGGGGAAGGGAGGTGGTAGCACGGGATGAGAGGTGACAGCAGAGGGGGAAGGGAGGTGGTAGCACGGGATGAGAGGTGACAGCAGAGGGGGAAGGGAGGTGGTATCACGGGATGAGAGGTGACAGCAGAGGGGGAAGGGAGGTGGTAGCAGAAAGAGAAAAGAAGGTGATAGCAGAGGGGGAGGGAAAGGGGGATGAGGGAAGGGAAGGGGGATGGGGGAAGGGAAGGGGGATGGGGGAAGGGAAAGGAGGATGCAGGGAAGGGATGGGGGATGGGTAAAGGGAATGGGGGATGGGGGAAGGGAAAGGAGGGTGTGGGGAAGGTAAAGGGGATGTGGTAAGAGAAGGGGGATGGGGGAAGGGAAGGGGGATGGGGGAAGGGAAGGGGGATAGGGAAAGAGAAGGGGATGGGGAAAGGGTAGGCGGATGGGGAAAGGGAAAGGGGATGCGGGAAGGGAAGGGGGATGGGGAAAGAGAAGGGGGATGGGGAAAGAGAAGGGGGATGGGGAAAGAGAAGGGGGATGGGGAAAGAGAAGGGGGATGGGGAAAGAGAAGGGGGATGGGGGAGGGGAAGGCGGATGGGGTTAGGGAAAGGGGATGTGGGAAGGGCAAGGGGTATGGGGATCGGCGCGTCTCCTACGTTTCCTCCCGCCAGTCCCGTCCCGCTCCGTCGCGTTCCCTCCCGCTCCGTCCCGTCATACATCCCGTCCCATCCCGTCCCATCCCGTCCCGTCATGTCCCGTCCCATCCCGTTCCGTCATGTCCCGTCCCGTCCCGTCCCGTCCCCTCTCGTCTCGTTTCCTTCCCGTCCCGTCCCGTCCCGTCCCGTCCTTTCCCGTCGCGTCCCCTCACGTCCCATCAGGTCCCCCCCGTTCCCGTCCCGTCCCGTCGTGTCCAGTAGCGTCCCCTCCTGTCCTCTCCTCTCCTCTCCACTTCTCTCCTCTCCACTCCTCGTTGCATCCCACAGTATCCCTTCCTACCCTTTCCGGCTCCCCTTCACGCACCGTCCCACCCCTCCCCTTCTCGTCGCATCCCGGAGGTCCTTCTCACCCCTTACCTCCCTTCCAGTCCCTTCCCTCCCAACCGTCCCGCCACACCCCTTCGCGACTCTCCCCTTACCCTCGCATCACGCCCATCCTTTTCTCCTCGCTTCCAGCCATGTCGCGTCGCTTCCTGTAATGTCGCGTCGCTGCTTATCGAGTCCTAACCCTCGCCTTTCAGCCGCGTCGCTGCTTATCCAGTCCTAACCCTCGCCTTTCCGTCGCGTCGCTTCCTATCTCGTCCTAACCCTCGCCTTTCCGTCGCGTCGCTTCCTAACTCGTCCTAACTGCTGCCTTTCCGTCGCGTCGCTTCCAATCTCGTCCTAACTGCTGCCTTTCCGTCGCGTCGCTTCCTATCTCGTCCTAACTGCTGCCTTTCCGTCGTGTCCCTTCCGTCCAAATTCGACAGGGGGGAGCGTTACTGCAATACACCTTGGTCCAAATAGAGTGGTGCATCTTATTGCAATAATGAGGACCAGCTCTGGCGATGGACGGACTATACGTGCGTAAAAGCAAATGCAGGCGCGGAGTGACCAAAGATAAAAATAAACAACGACAACGAGAGGTACAAGGTATTGTCACGTTTGACGCTGGAATAAACCTAGGGAAAATAAGATGCTGAAATGAGACTTAGTCGCTAGAGAAATCGGTGCGAGTATGTTTCTCCACCTACAACCTGTCTGGGTTTGCAGTCTCATATTTTTCCAGCTCTGTAATACGCTCGGTTGTGGGCTGTGCGTCCCATTCTCAGTCCGTCGCACATGCAGTTGC